ACATGTGAACCACTTGCTATGTGATATTGAATATGGACTTGTTTTATTGGATTAATGGCAAAAAAGGTCTAAGAGAGGAACTTCTTCAGACAGAAGATTTATGTCTATGTCTGACGTACTCTAATTGAATGATACGATGAAAAGTCGATAGTACAGCTTATACTGTTTGCCACTTTTTGCTAGAGTGAAATAGAGAATGAATCTCTGTAATGTTTTTTTGAATGACAAGTATAATTTTTTAAAATAGATTTGATAAAAATACTTTATTATTATTTCAAAAATAATTAAAGAGATTTTAAGATGTTATTTTTGAGATTATTTTAATTAATTTATTAATACCATGTAACACTTATACTTGTGTTGAATAAATTTGTTTAAAATTATAAAACTACAAACTACTAGTAGATATTTTAAATATTAATTATGAAATGAAATAATTGATTATATAAAAATTCAGTTATTAAAAATAAATGGAAAATTCAAACACAATTTAAATAAACATCAATATATATACATGTTATAAATATAAACATGTACAACTATCATTTGAATTTGAATTCTTTCTATGGCATCATCCTCTGGTTGGGTATACTTTGTTTCACTGTCAGACTGAAGAATGTAGCCACTTGTTCAGATCTCTTAAACAGGAGGGGCCTTTTTTGTTTTATACACTGAAGTGCACGTCTCCGGAACCCCTGTTTATATTCAACCATGATTTAAAGGACGAAATATTTACTCAACAAGATTTTTACGTCAAATAATTATGACTCAAGTATCCTTCCAATTGAAACATAAATATCTTCTAAGATTTTTATTTAAAAAAAAAAGAGAGAGAATTTGTTTTAAATTGATACTTGAAAGAATGAAAGAATTATTTTTGATGCCTATCTATTGTAAAAACATTCAATTCTATTTTGTTTTTCTAATGTTGCAATGATTACCTGCAATGTATTTATTTTTTATTAATTTCATTGAATAATAATATAAATTCTGCTGAATATATCAATTAATTTAATTATTATTAACTTACCTTTCATATATTATAAATTGAAATTTGAACTTATGTAAAAAAAATTGCTAAAAGATTAAATATTAAAGAGAAGAATGAAGAACAATTGAGAGGATTGAGGAACAATCTCAGGTTACCCAAGCAATGAACGCAAGGAACTTAAATAATAATAAAGTATATTAAAAATCGTATACAATTTTGATTTCAATATATGCATATGTATAACGATATGATCATCGGTCGTCGATTAATTACTATGGCAACATAAAAAACTTGTACAAAAATGGCGGTCGAACGTAGAATCGAATCAAACAAGAGAATTCATATATTTTCGAGAAAAAAGAATATAAAAGCTGAGCGAGGAAAACGTACAAAAGAAAAATAGAGGGAAATACGATTATTTCGAAATTCCAAATATATCTTTTCTTACTATAAAAATTTGAAGAAGAATAAAAAAAAATAAAAGAATCATACCTCGTGAACCAATTTGATGGATGAAATTCCGGAACACACTCGTTACACACAGTATTTTCCATTTTATTGACAATCATCGTGACAAAAAGTGGCTTACAAATACTCGTTATAAACTCCTTTCTCTCGTTTTTCTAACGTCGCGTTCGTTCTTTTCGTCGCATCAATCGTTCTGCCATTGCGATAGCAGCGCACTCTTTCACTTTTTCTTTCCCCCTCTGTCTCGTTCTCCCGCCTTTTTTCCTCTCTTCCCACTACTACCATCTCAACAATCTCATTTCATCCCATTCCGTCGCATTATTCTTTCTCACTCTTTCCAACGTCACTGATCGTTCACGAACGCGACATTGTCCGTTTTCGCTCGTAACAGCTTGGCGTGATATGTGACACTAAAGGTTCTTTACTCTCACTACTTTACAACATTACACGTGTACGTTTTCGTTTGGCAGGGGTAACCCGTTCGGATTGCGATACGGATTGTGATTTTATTATTATTATTATTTTTTTTTAAGTTGCTTGAGGCAGTTATCGTTTTTCAGTCCTTTTGTTTCTTTCCGTTCCTTTTCATTTCTTATACATATATCTTTCTTATTTTTTTCCGCGTGCACTCGCGTCCCACCTGCACCACTCACGAGACATCTCGCGGGTCGATCGCAAAATTCCAACAACTGTTAAAAAAGGCAAGCATCGAAGTGGAAATAGAAAAAGTACATAACCGAGATGTTTCACTCTTGCTAGTGTTGAAAGAATTCTTCATCTCACACAGTCACACTTTTGAAATGTCCCGTGAAAAGGAACAGAATAGAAATGAAACACGAGATGCGGTCTCGGGAATTGTATTTCTCCTTCTAGTCCTCCCCTTTTTCCTCCAACGATTAGAAAAATTGTGAAATATCGACATCGCATCGCAGAAGCACGCACGTCTTCGTAATGAAATCTCGAATATGCTTCCACGATCATATATGTATATATATATATTTATGTACTTAACGATTTATTTATTTATTCGATTTCGCACTCTGTCAACAGCTACTTGTCTATTGCGCGGATTATAAAAAAAACACTTGAGGTGTGTATATCTTAATTTGTCTTAATTTTTTTTCCCATTTTACCTACAATTTAATCTCGAAATACACAGAACTTTTTCATATTCTTTTCTCTACGACGATGTGCGAGCATGTACGACAGTGTATTTGCGTGTATCGATAGTATGTGAATCTGTATATAGATCTGTATATGTCTGTGCGTATATGCATGATTCAAGTCTCCATTAAAGACGGAAAACCATGCGAGATATAAAACAAATCTTATTCGGAATCTCTGCACTTCTTTTTTTGTCAGCTACGTTC